TTTAAAAGGAGGTGGCAACTCTGGACTGGACGAACCGTCCTGCTACCTGCAGGGATTTGAAAGGTTAGGGGAGGAGAAAGAGGGGACAGAGTGGAACGGCAGGGTGAACTACACTCCTCAAAAGCAGTAGCACCAGCAGGAAACCGAAAAGCTCTGCCCATACAGCCTAGACCCTGCCCTCCATCGCCCTTACCCATACAGAACCCTGAACCCTGACACTGCAACTCAACACCCCTGGGCCCCAGGAACCCCCACCACACGCACCTCTGCAACGTGCGTAGGGCGGTAGTGGTTCTTGAGCCACCCAAATAGAACTCAGAACCCTGGCCCTGCAATAACAACACCCCCAGCCACCCCTCACAGACCCACCTGTGCAGCTTGCTTGGGGCAATGCGATGGCTTTTGATGCGCCTCATAAGTCGGAACCCCAAATCCTGACCCTGCAACAACCCCCTACGCTCTCCTTTCCCTTCTCGACAGCACACACACCTCTGCAGCTTGCTTGGGGCGACGGTGGTTCTTAAGCTTCTTGATCAGCTGCAGGGGAGAGTGTAAGAATGAGAGGGTGCGAGTGAGGGCGAGAGAGTGGGAGAATGAGAGGGTGTGAATGAGGGCGAGAGAGTGTGAGAATGAGAGGGTGCGAGTGAGGGCGAGAGAGTGTGAGAATGAGAGGGTGTGAGTGAGGGCGAGAGATGACCAGTCAGCCAAGAAGGGACAAGCAGGGGAGTGCGGGGAACGACAGGGATGAGCAGGAAACAAGGGACAAAAGGCGCTATACAAGCAGAACTCATATTTCCACAGCGCTATCCCAAGCGGGCACTGCCCATCACACCATGATTACCACTTGCCGTTAACGTTACCTTTGTAACCAGACGCATGTCAATGGTGTTACATACCTGTGTGGCCAGGCGCATGTCTACGGTGTTCCCGTTGCTCTCCCACGCCCTCACAATGGGCATGGCGTGGTTGCTGTCTGGCAGCTCCTTGATGTGCTGCCACAGCTGCTCCAGCGGGGCTGGGGGAGGGGCGGTTGGAGAAGGGGGGGAGGGGTTGGGAAGAGCAGGATGCAAGGTGATTGCCTGAGGCTGAGGGCATGGCGTGGTTGCTCTTCGGCCCAATTCACGAGTGTCCTCAATCAGAGCAGCGCATTTTGGGCATTTCGTGACTTGGCCTCATGGGGTCCAGCCCTGGACCAGCTCGCCGGGCTAGTTCCGCCCAAACTGCCACAGCCTGGCGCTGCCACGGTCAGCCTGCACCAGGCCGGCCCACTTTAACAGAAGTGAATTTCTGAGACGCTAAAAATTTCCGCCCAAACTGCAACAGCCTGGCGCTGCCACGGTCAGCCTGCACCGGGCCGGCCCACTTTAATAGAAGTGAATTTCTGAGACGCTAAAAATTTCCGCCCAAACTACTACAGCCTGGCCCTGCCACGGTCAGCCTGCACCAGGCCGGCCCACTTTCCAGCCCGTGTCGGGCTGATAAGTGACGCGCGACAAATTCCGAGTCACAGACGCCACTTCTAGGTCGTAATCGTTTGGCCGGTGAAACGCATTTTCGCGTTCCGGCCACCCCCAAGTTACCTTCGGCCGATCTGACCGAACCCCTCCCGATCCGGCCGAACCCCTCCCGATCCAATCGAGCCCCTCTCAATCTGGCCGAACCCCTCCCAATCTGGCCGAACCCCTCCCAATCTGGCCGAACCCCTCCCGATCCGGCCGAACCCTTCCTGACCTGAACAACCCCCTTCCTCCCTGCCCACGGTGGTCAACCCGAGGGCCATCATTCTGAGCAGGCCGGCCCGACTTGGGCCACGCCCAGCCCCCACCAGCAAGTAAGTCGGGCCATGGTGACTTTTGAGCCGACTCAAACGTCACCAGCTAGACCCGCCTGGGTTGGGCCGGGACTGGCTGGCAATGGTCCGGCCCATGCTCATGCCTAGGGAGGAAGAAGCGGAAGGGGACGGACAGGGGGAAGAAAGATAAGGCAAGGAGTTTGGGTTTTTGGGTTATCCCCAAAACCCGTAAACTTGTCCCATGGCATGCCGCGCCACATCAACTCATTAAGCCTCCCATCTTATCCCATCCCATCCCATCCCATCCCATCCAGCCCTACCCCATCCCATTCCTGCCATCCCATGTCATGGCACATGACTCCTCCTTTCACTCACTCTGCAGCCCTGGCGTTTCCGCATTTGCCCCCCCACCTCCGCCGCTGCTCCCCCCAACCTCCACTGTTCCGCCCTCGCCCCCCTCCGCGGCAACCTGCGCGTCCCCTGTGCCCTCCGCCATTGCGGAAAACTCCTCCCCCAAACTGCCCTCCGCTGCTGCGGGGGAATCACCCGCCTCCGCGACAACCTGCGCCGTCCCCTCGCCTTCCGCGCCCGCGCTATTTCCCAATGGACTGTACCCGCCGCTGCTGCTTCCGCTGCTGCTGCTGCTGCTGCTGCCGCTGTTGCTGCTGGCGGTGCTGCTGCTGGTGGTACTGTCATTGCTGCTGCTGTCGCTGCTAATACCGTCACCTGCACTAGTAATCGACGAATAGGTTCCGCCTGGGGCTAGTGAATGGAACGGATTCCTTACACGGAGCGCGCTATAAGGCGTACACGACGACACGGAATCTCGACGAATCATGCTGTGGCTATATCGAGCGCCAAGCTGAGAGGCGGCGAGCGGAGCAGCCTCGCGGGCAGGGGGAGGCGGCGACAGCGCGGGGAGGAGGACGCGACGCGCGACGGAGGCAACTGAAGAAGCATGGCGGGCGGCGGCAGTAGCTGCGGAGGTAGCGGGGGCGTGGATTGCGGCGGGGGATGGGGCGATCGGATCAAATCTTGCGTTAGGCGAAGCGGCAAATTCAACAGAAGCGGCACCGGCGTTGGCTGGAGCGTGATCGACGGCGCAGGACGCGACACGCGATGAGATCGACGAGATCGCCGAATCGCCGCCGCGCTTGCGGTTGAGCGATGCCCGCAGATAGGCGAGCGATCGACCCCTCATGGCTGCTGCTGTTGCTGCTGCTGCTTCTGTCGGTGGGTGCTGCTGGCGCAGGCGCTGTGGGTGGTGGGTGAAATGGCGTGCGAATGCAAGAGGGATCTGGATAGCGGGTGGAGCGGATGGGTTTGAGTGCGCAGCCGTGAGGGAGCGCGCAATGGCGTCGACTGTCAGTGGGTGGGGCCAGAAACTCGAAAGTGAATTCGGAAGTCTCTTGAAGGGGTTTTGGCGCGATTGAGTGGAACACCAAGCTGTTGCAAGAGAATGAGTGCCGCGTTACAAACTGTTTCTCTCATCGCATAACAGGAGCTTGCAAAAGAATCCAAAAAACAAGTACCTGATGGCAACACCTCAACAGATGATTCTGGATAGAGTTTAGGTAGAAAAAAAATCAGTTGCTGGGAAATAATAAGATACAGTCTGATGTATGGAATAATTAGCCCATCCCAAAACATCATGTTACGATGCGAAGTTTTATGAGAAGGCATTCCTGTATGCTGCAGGAGTCGACTATATCGAGTACGAAGTCGATGAGTCAGAAGAATCGAAGCGATACAGCAACCGTCTGACCAAGACCGATGCGGGAAGAAGCATTTGAAATAAAATGAGCGGGAACAGGTTTGAAACTGTTTCGATACGAAGAGTTATGAAAGGCATTCCTATATGCTGCAGGAGCCGACTCCACCTAGTACGATGTCGAGGAGTCAGAAGAATCAAAGTAACACAGCAATCGTCTGACCAAGGGCGATACGAGAAGAGGCATTTGAAATGAAAAGAGCGGGAACAGGTTTGAAACCGATTCCCGCGCCGCACGGTTTCTAAACTTTGCTGCAATAAGGGAATGTACCCCTTAGAGTACATGGCTAGTCTAGGTCGTTTCGCATTCCTTTGTATTCCTATATAAACCCAATGTATGCATGCTATTATCAATCTCAGTCATTTACATTCTCTTTGACCTGAGTTCAATACTTCCGCTGCGACACCACTCGCGATCAACCCTGAACGATCCTTTTCACTAAGTCACACTACAGATTGTAACATGGTATGAGAGCTACTCAGGGATTCTTCGCAACGCCACCTCCGTTCGTCGAACCTAAATCTGGCGAGCGGCACACGCTCCAAGACCAAGATGGCCGGAGGATCTGGAGGTCAAATAAATCTAACGACCGAAAGACAAATCAACCCGGCTGCGACAAATGAGGCGACAACCACGATCGGCACTGCCGCCCTCGAGCAGTTATTCGCTCGACTGTCAACCATGGAGAAAGAACTCCAAGAACTGCGCAAAGGCGATGCAAGAACCACTTCCCAACCAGCTCAACCTGGACAACCGGCTGCGAAAATCCGTGATACCGCCGCGCATGGCTTCTCCCTCGATTCAGACAAATCTGCAACAACTGCCCCTCGTCCAAGCGACGAAACAATCAACTCTGCGCAAGCACGCTTTCTCAGCGTTTCAAAAATTAAGACTACTGCCGCATTCAACGGCAAGGATTTCTACACATGGAGTTTTGAGCTTGAGCTCCTCCTACAGACAGCGCAGATCTACCACTACTTTGACGGCTCCTATCCTAAACCGGTGGAAGACACCGAAGACGCCCGGGCTCAATACTACAGTGAGTCCCTCATGGCGTACAGCGTTCTGCTACGCAACATGTCACCCGCAGAACAGCTCGGCATTCGCTCCTACAAAGAGAGCGCCGCTCCAGCTCTGGAAGCTTGGAAGCACCTCGTTGAGGTATATCAGCCGAAGGATTCCGTCACTGCCAGCAGACTCCTGCAACAACTCATGGAGACCAAGATGGGGCACGGGGAGAAAGCAAACAGCTACATCAACCGTTGTCGGAACATCCGTGATCAAATCATGAAGAACGGAAGCTCTATTTCGGAGGAAATCTTCGTCAGCATTATCATCCAAGGACTCGGGCCTGAGTGGAAGCCCTGCAAAGCACTACTCCGACAACGAGGAACCATCTCTGAAGCCACGCCATGCTCCGCACTGCTGACTGAACAGCAGGACATGGATTCGAGCAGAACAAGCTCCGCGCCGCGCCGAGAGCGCCTCGCCTTCTACGCGGACAACCGTGAAGAGCGACGACAACCCAGGCGCCACTATTGCAAAATATGCAAAGTCTTCGGACACTCAACGGATCGATGCAAATCCCGATCCAGTTATCGCCACCCGAATTCCACTCACCACAACAATTGGGTCGGCCGACAAGACGCTCGTCATTCTCATCAACAACACTCCCCTCGTCCCCTTGCACAGCAACAACCGCAGCAGACACAAGGACCTCAAGGAGGAGCTACCAGAAACGTGATCGCGAACATGACGACAAGACGACATCGCACCGCTGAACCAGACGAAGAAGACGAGCTCCAAGGAGGACTACTTGAGCCGGAAGAAGGGTGGAATAATCCTCTCACTGAAGACCACTACTACCAGTACGACGAAGACGAGCAAGATTGGCATCTGCCAATTACACTGCGGGAAAGCCCGCCACACGACAATCAACGCTACGTACCTGTGGGATGGAAGGAGGATGAAGACCCACTATTTCACAAGCGGTACAAAGCAATACTGGTGACTCCGCGACTCGCGCTGCTCCTACGTAACAACAACACCGACAACCACAACACCTGGTACCTGGACAGCTGTTGCGGACAGCACATGGTGGGATCCGTCCGATACATTTCGAACCTAAGCCGCGCCCCCGCAACCTACGTCACCGTCGCCAACAATCATCAGCTGCGCGCAAATGCACAAGGCATCGTGATCCTGCAAACACGGGATAGCAACACGCACATCTCGTTCAACGACGTGCTCTACGTCCCGGACCTCCGCTTCAATCTTCTCTCGGCAGGACAACTTCGCGACTGCGGAGTCGTGTTCACCACGCACCTGGCCACACGTGATCTCATCCTCACCCACGCCCCTCCGGACACACCTCCCGAGTCGCACAAATACCTTGGGCGGGCTCGGTCGATAAACGGCATCTACGTTCTGGACTTCGACATACCAAGCTGTCAGGCTTTGTCTGACGAGCTCGTGGACCTCGTCCCTCTCGACTTCGCCTTCATGAACAAGGAATCGTGGCAGCATCCAGACGGGCGACCATGGGTCCGGCGGAGTCCTCATACCCGTGAGATCAACCTGCACGAGCCTGACATCACCGGCCTCTGCATCACCTGCCACACACCAACGGCGAGCCGCACGGAGCAAGTCGAAATGGAGTACGTGGCAATTCAGGAAGCAGAAAGCGCCGAGGAAGAACCCACTGGCATGACCGAAGAAGAGCTCGCTGTGACAACTCACCGCATCTTCGGGGAAGGAAACGAGAGATTCGGACAAATGCCCGTCCCGCGCCCAACGCCGCGTACAGAAACACTCCGTTTCGTCCTTGAAGCCAACACCAGCACCTTCGACGAAGAGAATCGCCCGCGTCCGTACACTCGCGAAGTCTACCGTCGTGAAATTGACCCCGACTGGAAAGACCCTGACGCAGAGGGAGAGCTAAGTGTTAAAGAAGAACGAGACAAGGACAAGGCAGCAAAGAAACAGAAGTTGTACGAGGAGCGCGTAGCGGCAGGCTGGAGCGAGGAATCCGCACGACGCGGCGCATGGGGAGACGACGATTACGAGTCGGAAGGAGTCACCACCTGGGGATCAGCCACTGGCGCTTGGGGAGCCAGCGGCATGGTCACCACAGGAGGATGGGGCACCGAGGAAACACCTGGGGAAGAGCTAACACAAGAAGAGCTAGAGGAAACAGAGCGGGAGATGCGAGCTGAGCGCGGAGAAGAATCTCCACGCGTAATCATACCACTCGGCCGGCCCCCTCGCACACGCTCACCTCCCCGCTCCCCTTACCGATGGGAAAGCACCTGGACGACGATTGAGGAGGGGAACGTACCACCTACCCCAGCACGTGACTCACTTGGTCCAATCTCACGTCCAGATCCATTTGCGCGCCTCATCGAAGGCACGAGGACGCCGCTAAACATCATCTCCGACTGTGACTTCCTCGCCCTCTACCTCACGACGACACCTGCAGAAGGGGAAACAGCAACAGAAGCAGCAGCACAAGAGGAAGAGGATGAAGCAGAACCAGGAGAAGAAGAAGAACCCCCACTCCAACTCCCGCGAGAGACGGAGGCGGAAGCAGCAGAACACCGCGCTCGCTACATGCGCACCAGCGGCATTCGCGCAGAAGACGACCTCTGGCACCAGCGATTCGGCCACCCCTCACGCCAGACTCTTGCTAACTGTCTCCGCGCCAAAGTCTTCCTCCCAGAAGCACTTCAACGCCCCGACGGCACTGAACCGCACAACACCCAACACCCGCTCACTTGCACCGTTTGCCCCACAGCGGCCCTTACTCACAGCGCCTACCCCTCTCTGGAACCCAGCACCAATCGCTACAAGAAGCTGCAAAAGGTGTATAGCGACTTTATCGTGCTCACCTGCGACAGCCTCCACGGCGAAAAATACACGATGGCCTTCATCGACGCTTACTCACGCCACGCTTGGATTGCCAACGTCGACGCGCGCTCCAAGGCCCCAGAGGTCTTTCGCATATGGCTCGCACACGCACAACGGCAGTCGGGGAGGAAGCTGAAAATCTGGCAGAGCGATGGTGCCAAGGAGCGAACTGGAGAACGTCCTTACCGAGAAGGGGATCAAGCACGAGATTTCCCTCCCCTATGCTCACCAACAGCAAGGCGTCGCGGAGAGGGTTAACCGGACTCTCATGACAAAAGTGTGTGCCCTCATGAACCAGTCCGGGCTGCCCAAGAAATTCTGGCCCTACGCCATGAACCACGCGGCGCGCCTGCACAACCTACTCTCTACTACAGCCAACAGGGACAACCTTTCCCCACACATGAAGTGGACCGGCTCAAGGGGAGACCCCTCCATGCTGAGGGTTTGGGGGTGCATGGTGCAGTACCGGCCAACTTCAGCGACAATCGGCAAGTTTGCTCAACGTGCGCGCTGGGGAATCCATATGGGGCTCAGCCACGAGCACAAGGGTTGGCTTATTATTGACATTGACAGCAAGGAGATTGTTCCCGCGCGCGATGTTCTCTTCTACGAACGACTCACCTTGAAGCAGTGGATCGAAGATGAACGGCGAAACGAAGCTCGCGGCTACATCAACAGCGGCCGTAGCTTTGCGTCCCCATAGGATGCAGCAGCAGCAGCAGCACTTGACGGCGACGACACTGACGATCATCCCGGTGTTCCGCCTCGCCTGCGCACGGACGACGACGACGATGATAGTGACGATGCGCCCGCGCCCGGACCATCTCGCCGACAGAACGAACCAAGCGGATCCTCACCTGGCCACGAGAGTGACGATGATGACGTGGTGGAAGTCCCCACAACCGACACCGCGGACACTACGAATGTGTCTGGTCTCCAACTTCTCGGCCTTCACACCTCGGTTTCTACCCTCGTCCGCACCGTCGAACCTAAGAACCCGCGCCAAGCCTTGACAGGCTCTCACGCAAAGGAATGGCGTGCAGCAATGGATGCAGAACTCAAGGCGCTGGAGTCTCGAGACACCTGGGTTCTCGTCGATCGTGCAGCAGTGAAGGGGAGAAGGGTGCTAAGCGGAAAATGGGTATTTCGTCTCAAGACTAACGCTGACGGAACCATCGAACGCTTCAAGGCACGATGGGTCGTACGCGGATACGACCAGCGCCACGGCATCGACTTCGACCAAACCTTTGCTCCCGTCAGCCGCCACACATCGGTCAGGATTCTACTCGCCATAGCCGCCGCTAAACACCTGCCACTGCGACAGATCGACGTAAAGAACGCGTTCTTATACGCGTTGGTGGACGCAACCATCTTCGTGGAGCAACCACACACTTACGGAGAAGGAGACCCCAGGGTGTGCCAGCTAAAGAAATCCCTCTATGGGATCAAGCAGGCGCCTCGTCTCTGGCAGCAGCACCTACACAAAATCCTGCTCGAGATCGGTTTCAGGCAGCTGCCGCACGACCCGGGGATGTACCGCCTTCACTTTAGCGGGGCCTACATCCTCCTCACCGTCTAAGTCGACGACCTGCTGTACACTGGCACCTGCAGCAAGCTTCTTAACCAGTTCGAGGAGAACCTGGCGAAGCGCGTAGACATCACCATCAACCATAACGTCACTCAGTTTCTGGGCCTGAACATCACCTACGCGCCAGAAGCAATCCATCTGTCAGCCTTTAAGTACGCAGAGCAGCTGGGGGAACGCTTCAACATCTCACCCGCACCACTCTCAACTCCCTACCATAGCCCCAGCTCCAACTACAAACCGGACAACAAACCCCTGTCCCCCGCAGGACTTCAATTATACCAGCAGCAATTGGGTTGTCTGCTATTCGCTTCTGTCACATGCCGACCCGACCTTTCGTACATCGCCAGCCAACTGGCACAGTACTCTCGCAAGCCAGTAGTCGAGAACCAGCTGGACCTGGAACGCGCCCTGCAGTATTTCATATCCACATCTGACATCGGGCTCTCCTATTCCACGCTGGCAACAACCTCCTTCAACCTCAACGGCTACGTGGACGCAGATCACGCCGCTGACCCTGCGAATCGACGGTCCCGAACCGGCTTTGTTTTCCGTTGGAGCCTACTGGCCCAATCTCCTGGAACTCGCAGAAACAAGAACTTGTTGCCTTGTCATCAGCCGAAGCAGAATGCATCGCCGCGACAGCAGCAATTCGCGAAGGCCTATACCTGCAGGAGCTGTTATAGGAGGCGAAAATTCCAACTTCGCCCACCTTTCGCCTTCACAGCGATAACCAGAGCGCCATCAAGATCGCGAATAAGCCAGGGTTCGTGAACCGCACGAAGCACATCGCGTTGCGATACTTCTTCGTCAAGGACGAAATCGACCAGGGCAAGGTTGACCTCGCGTACTGCCCGACAACTGAGATGGGAGCCGACTTCCTCACCAAGCGTCTGCCACGTCAGCAGTTCAAACACTGCTCCGACCTCACCGGAGTGGTCAAGCGAGTCAGCACCCTACGCGTCCAGGAATGAAGGGGAGTGTTACGATGCGATGTTTTATGAGAAGGCATTCCTGTATGCTGCAGGAGCTGACTCTACCGAGTACGAAGTCGAGGAGTCAGAAGAATCGAAGCGACACAGCAACCGTCTGACCAAGACCGATGCGGGAAGAAGCATTTGAAATGAAAAGAGCGGGAACAGGTTTGAAACCGATTCCCGCGCCGCACGGTTTGAATTTCGCTGCAATATGGGAATATACCCCTTTGAGTACATGGCTAGTCTAGGTCGTTTCGCATTCCTTTGTATTAATATATAAACCCTATGTATGCATGCTATCATCAATCTCAGTCATTTACATTCACTCTGACCTGAGTTCAACACTTCCGCTGCAACACTACTTGCGATCAACCCTGAACGATCCTTTCCTAAAGTCCCACCTCAGATTGTAACACATCACAAGTCTATACGTGATATATCAAACGGCTGATGATACGGCACCATGTTGAGCGCCAGTGTCCCCTGCCCTTCCGCTTGCGACCCATGCACTTCGCCCCCATGCCCATCATCAACCTCATCAACCACCACCTCCACACCATCCCCCATCGCCGCTCCACCACCATCCCCCAACCCACCTTCATCCTTCCCATCACCCTTCTCCTTCCCTTCACCACCTCCGCCATTCAACCAAACCCCACCCTCACCCCCACCCTCCACCACCATACACCCATCCTCCAACCCCCCACTGGTATCAGAGCTCTCCGAATAACCACCACCACCACCACCGTCACCGCCGGGGCCATCCCCCAAGCCCTCCAGGATGGGCTCTAACGGGCTGTCTTCATCGGGGAGAGGCGCGTGCGGGGAGGTGAGGAAGCGGACGACGGAGGCCATGGGGGGCCGCTGGTCGGGGTTGTATTCGAGGCAGAGCAGGGCGATGCGCAGCACCCGCAGGAACTGCTGCTCGTCGAATCCAGAGGCCAGCAGTGCTGGGTCGGCGAACGAATCTAGAGCTCCCTCTGAGAGGCATGCCTCGGCCTGCATGGGGAGCAGGGGCGTTGGTGAGGGCAGTGGAGCAGGTGAGATGGACAGAGGGACAGCAGCGGTAAGGAACTGCTCCTCATCGCAACTAGAGGCTAGCAGTGCCGGGTCGGTAGCAGAGCGGGGTCGGCGAATGAATCCAGAGCTCCCTCTGATAGGCATCCCTCGGCCCGAGTGGGTGTGCAGAAAGGATGGGTGAAGATGAGAGACTTGCCACGTCAGCCAAAGTGATTGCAAAGGTGAGCCTGCTGTCAGCAGCGCGCGGTCCGCAAAGGAGGAGAGTGGAGGGTGGGTAATGCAGAGACAGATGGCATGGGAGAAGGTGATTGCAGAGGTGAGGTGACTGCCAGAGGTGAGTCCCACGCGTGGTGAGTGGGAGTGGTGGGGAGGGGTGAAGAGTGGTGGAAGGTGGTGAAGCCAGAGTGATGGAGAGAGGGACATCAGAAGGGAATGCACTGTGGCTCGGCCAGTCTCCTCCCAGCAGGCGGGAGCTGTGGAGTCAACGCAAGAACGCAAGGCAAAGTCAACCAAGTCAACACAGCTATTTTTGGTCAACTCAAGTCAACTTGGTAAACGCAGGTCTCACCCGCTCAAGCAGGTCCTCTGTGTTGTGGGGCGACTGGCCTGACAGCAGCTCCAGCAGCACCACTCCGAAGCTGAACACGTCTGCTGCCACTCCCACGCGCTCACTGCCCACGTACTCTGGAGCGACGTAGCCCCACGTGCCCAGCACCTGAGGTGTTTGGGGGGGTTGAGCAGAGCAAAGGTCAGAGCAGCAGGGGGGGGTGGAGTGGGAGCTTGGGCATAAATACCAAGTCAGCCCACCCGCTCACCGCCCACGTACTTTGGCCCCATGTACCCTCACATGCCCAGCACCTCAAGGGGCGGGAGAGGAAGGGAACGGCATGACCCATTGCACCATGCCCCTTGCGCCATGCCCCCTTGCGCCATGCCCCCTTGCGCCATGCCCCTTGCGCCATGCCCCTTGCGCCATGCCCCTTGCGCCATGCCCCCTTGCGCCATGCCCCTTGCGCCATGCCCCTTGCGCCATCACCCCTTACGGCATGCCTTTGGGGAGCCTAGAGTCAGCGAACCTGGCGTCCAGCAGGATGTTTGCGCGCTCTATGTTGCTTCAACTCAACACCACTCACACCACTCACTCACCCTCGTGGTCATGTCGTTGACGCCTTGAGGCATGACCTTGGCCAGCCCGAAATCAGCGATCTTGGCCTCCCCGGTAGCGTGCAGCAGAATGCTAGTCTGCTTCACATAGCTCTAGCCAACTCCGGGGTTGAAAAGAAGAGGACGAAAGAAAGGCAACAACTCACTCTGGTACTCATGTCATTGACGCCTTGAGGCATGACTTTAGCCAGCCCAAAATCCGCAATCTTGGCCTCCCCGGTAGCGTCCAGCAGGATGTTGGCGGGCTTCACGTCGCGGTGGATGATGCGCGGCTCACACTGCTCGTGCAGGTACGCCAGGCCCTTGGCCGATCCTATTGCCACGCGCAGCCTGTGCTCCCACCTCATCGGATTGTTCTTGTCTGCCCGGTGTGGAGAGGGTGTGGGAGAGACAAGGTCGGGAAAAAGCAGAAGCTTATTTTGTCTGGTGCAGGAAACAAGACCAGAAACTTGTTTTTGGCCTCCCCGCTAGCGTCCAGCAGGATGTTAAGAGCAGCCTCAGTGAGAGAGAGGGGCTCACAGCGCTCGTGCAGATAGGCTGGCCCCTCGGCTGGCCCCACTAGCACACGAGCCCCTTGGCTTGATCACCTCCCCACCAGCTGCACCAAGTTGCAGTGGTGCACCCATGCGTGCACCCATGCGTGCACCCATGCGTGCACCCATGCGTGCACACACACATATACCCCATGCCCACACACATACCCCATGCCCACACACATACCCCATGCCCACACACATACCCCATGCCCACACACATACCCCATGCCCACACACATACCCCATGCCCACACACATACCCCATGCCCACACACATACCCCATGCCCACACACATACCCCATGCCCACACACATACCCCATGCCCACACACATGTCTGCATGCATGTGTAGCAAATACCTCTGAGTCGAGATGAGAGGTTGCCACCAGAAATGAACTCATATGCGAGCAATCGTGCAGCAGAATCCCACCAGCTGCACTAAGCTGCACGAGTGAGTGCACTCCACACACACACACACCCCATGCACTCCACGAGTGAGTGCACTCCACACACACACACACACCCCCCATGCACGCATGCATGCATGTGTAGCACGTACCTCTCAGCCGCGACGACAGGCTGCCGCCCGAAACGAACTCGTAGGCCAGCAGGCGCGAGTCCCCCTCACAGCAGAATCCCACGAGCTGCACCAAGTTGCGGTGGTGCACGTGGCCGATCACCTCTATCTCTATTCGATACTCTGCCTCTCCCTGGCCGCCCCCTGGTGTTGCATGCAGCATCTTCACTGCCACCTCGTAGCTGGCAAGGGGACACGGGGCGGGAAAGTGGGGGGTACGCAAGGGAGTGTGAGGTGGGGCGGTGGTGCACATGCACATGCACATGCACATGCACATGCACATGCACGTGCACATGCACATGCACATGCACATGCACATGCACGTGCACATGCACATGCACATGCACATGCACGTGCACATGCACATGCACAAGCACATGCACATGCACATGCACATGCACATGCACATGCACATGCACATGCACATGCACATGCACATGCACGTGCACGTGCCCTATCATCTCTACCACTAACCAGTGCTCTGCTTCTCCCTGGGCCCTGCCTGGCGTTGTGTGCAGCATCGTCACTGCTACCTCATAGGTGGTGCGAAACCTAATAGCTGGTGGGAATGCAGGCAGCAAGCATAGGGGAGTGAGGGAAATGAGGAGGGAGGAGAGGGGGCGTTGCAGTGGTGCACATGCCCGATCATCTTTAACCATATCCATATTCAGCCTGTTTTTGAGTCACCTCAGAAACAGGATCACCTCTGACCCTATCCATATTCAGCTTCTGCCTGCAGCATCTTCACTGCTACCTCGTAGCTGGCTAGAGCACTGCAAAACAAACGGCAGAGTCTCTTCAAGCCACGCGATGCAACGGCCCGAACCATAAGCATGCATATTTAGAAATAAGAGAGTAAGAGTGTTCCTGTCGTGTGATGAAGGAACTTTTGAAAGTTCTCAAGAGTCAATCCAATATCGCATACCCGTCAGAGAGGGTTCCTCGGTACACGTGGCCAAACCCGCCCCGCCCTATGAGGCGCGAGAAGTGAAAGTTCTCGGTTGCTTCCTGCAGCTCCCACAGCTGGAACTCTGTGAGCCCATCTGCCACCTCGCCTGCCGTGAGGACAGAGGGGAGGGGAAGGAGGGGAAGCGTGCGAGGGGGGAGCGTAAGAGGAAGTTTACAAAGGCTCAATAAGAAACTCTGTCAACCCATCCGCCATCTCTCCTGAGGGCAACGCGGAGGGGGGGACGAGAAAAAGGGGGTAAAGAAAAGGGGGGGAGTGAAAAGAGGGGGAGTCAATGGAGAGAAGGGAAAGAGAAGGAGGGAGAAGGGACGAGGGGGGAGAGAGAGGGCGGGTAATAAGGGGGAGGGAAGAGTGAGGAGGAAAAGAGGAGGGTCCGTGTCCATTAACGTGCATGCATACTCACGTGCATGCATACTCACGTGCATGCATACTCACGTGCATGCATACTCACGTGCATGCATACTCACGTGCATGCATACTCACGTGCATGCATACTCACGTGCATGCATACTCACGTGCATGCATACTCACGTGCATGCATACTCACGTGCATGCATACTCACGTGCATGCATACTCACGTGCATGCATACTCACGTGCATGCATACTCACGTGCATGCATACTCACGTGCATGCATACTCACGTGCATGCATACTCACGTGCATGCATACTCACGTGCATGCATACTCACGTGCATGCATACTCACGTGCATGCATACTCACGTGCATGCATACTCACGTGCATGCATACTCACGTGCATGCATACTCACGTGCATGCATACTCACGTGCATGCATACTCACGTGCATGCATACTCACGTGCATGCATACTCACGTGCATGCATACTCACGTGCATGCATACTCACGTGCATGCATACTCACGTGCATGCATACTCACGTGCATGCATACTCACGTGCATGCATACTCACGTGCATGCATACTCACGTGCATGCATACTCACGTGCATGCATACTCACGTGCATGCATACTCACGTGCATGCATACTCACGTGCATGCATACTCACGTGCATGCATACTCACGTGCATGCATACTCACGTGCATGCATACTCACGTGCATGCATACTCACGTGCATGCATACTCACGTGCATGCATACTCACGTGCATGCATACTCACGTGCATGCATACTCACGTGCATGCATACTCACGTGCATGCATACTCACGTGCATGCATACTCACGTGCATGCATACTCACGTGCATGCATACTCACGTGCATGCATACTCACGTGCATGCATACTCACGTGCATGCATACTCACGTGCATGCATACTCACGTGCATGCATACTCACGTGCATGCATACTCACGTGCATGCATACTCACGTGCATGCATACTCACGTGCATGCATACTCACGTGCATGCATACTCACGTGCATGCATACTCACGTGCATGCATACTCACGTGCATGCATACTCACGTGCATGCATACTCACGTGCATGCATACTCACGTGCATGCATACTCACGTGCATGCATACTCACGTGCATGCATACTCACGTGCATGCATACTCACGTGCATGCATACTCACGTGCATGCATACTCACGTGCATGCATACTCACGTGCATGCATACTCACGTGCATGCATACTCACGTGCATGCATACTCACGTGCATGCATACTCACGTGCATGCATACTCACGTGCATGCATACTCACGTGCATGCATACTCACGTGCATGCATACTCACGTGCATGCATACTCACGTGCATGCATACTCACGTGCATGCATACTCACGTGCATGCATACTCACGTGCATGCATACTCACGTGCATGCATACTCACGTGCATGCATACTCACGTGCATGCATACTCACGTGCATGCATACTCACGTGCATGCATACTCACGTGCATGCATACTCACGTGCATGCATACTCACGTGCATGCATACTCACGTGCATGCATACTCACGTGCATGCATACTCACGTGCATGCATACTCACGTGCATGCATACTCACGTGCATGCATACTCACGTGCATGCATACTCACGTGCATGCATACTCACGTGCATGCATACTCACGTGCATGCATACTCACGTGCATGCATACTCACGTGCATGCATACTCACGTGCATGCATACTCACGTGCATGCATACTCACGTGCATGCATACTCACGTGCATGCATACTCACGTGCATGCATACTCACGTGCATGCATACTCACGTGCATGCATACTCACGTGCATGCATACTCACGTGCATGCATACTCACGTGCATGCATACTCACGTGCATGCATACTCACGTGCATGCATACTCACGTGCATGCATACTCACGTGCATGCATACTCACGTGCATGCATACTCACGTGCATGCATACTCACGTGCATGCATACCACGTGCATGCATACCCACGTGCATGCATACTCACGTGCATGCATACTCACGTGCATGCATACTAACGTGCATGCATGCATGCATACTCACGAGCATGCATACCAACGTGCTTGCATACCAACGTGCATGCATACTCACGTGCATGCATACTCACGTGCTTGCATACCAACGTGCATGCATACTAACATGCATGCATACTCACGAGCATGCATACTAACGTGCATGCATACTCACGAGCATGCATACTCACGTGCATGCATACTCACGTGCTTGCATACTCACGTGCATGCATACTCACGTGCATGCATACTCACGTGCATGCATACTCACGTGCATGCATACTCACGTGCATGCATACTCACGTGCATGCATACTCACGTGCATGCATACTCACGTGCATGCATACTCACGTGCATGCATACTCACGTGCATGCATACTCACGTGCATGCATACTCACGTGCATGCATACTCACGTGCATGCATACTCACGTGCATGCATACCCACGTGCTTGCATACCAACGTGCATGCATACGCACGTGCATGCATACCAACGTGCTTGCATACTCACGTGCATGCATACTCACGTGCATGCATACTCACGTGCATGCATACTCACGTGCATGCATACTCACGTGCATGCATACTCACGTGCATGCATACTCACGTGCATGCATACTCACGTGCATGCATACTCACGTGCATGCATACTCACGTGCATGCATACTCACGTGCATGCATACTCACGTGCATGCATACTCACGTGCATGCATACTCACGTGCATGCATACTCACGTGCATGCATACTCACGTGCATGCATACTCACGTGCATGCATACTCACGTGCATGCATACTCACGTGCATGCATACTCACGTGCATGCATACTCACGTGCATGCATACTCACGTGCATGCATACTCACGTGCATGCATACTCACGTGCATGCATACTCACGTGCATGCATACTCACGTGCATGCATACTCACGTGCATGCATACTCACGTGCATGCATACTCACGTGCATGCATACTCACGTGCATGCATACTCACGTGCATGCATACTCACGTGCATGCATACTCACGTGCATGCATACTCACGTGCATGCATACTCACGTGCATGCATACTCACGTGCATGCATACTCACGTGCATGCATACTCACGTGCATGCATACTCACGTGCATGCATACTCACGTGCATGCATACTCACGTGCATGCATACTCACGTGCATGCATACTCACGTGCATGCATACTCACGTGCATGCATACTCACGTGCATGCATACTCACGTGCATGCATACTCACGTGCATGCATACTCACGTGCATGCATACTCACGTGCATGCATACTCACGTGCATGCATACTCACGTGCATGCATACTCACGTGCATGCATACTCACGTGCATGCATACTCACGTGCATGCATACTCACGTGCATGCATACTCACGTGCATGCATACTCACGTGCATGCATACTCACGTGCATGCATACTCACGTGCATGCATACTCACGTGCATGCATACTCACGTGCATGCATACTCACGTGCATGCATACTCACGTGCATGCATACTCACGTGCATGCATACTCACGTGCATGCATACTCACGTGCATGCATACTCACGTGCATGCATACTCACGTGCATGCATACTCACGTGCATGCATACTCACGTGCATGCATACTCACGTGCATGCATACTCACGTGCATGCATACTCACGTGCATGCATACTCACGTGCATGCATACTCACGTGCATGCATACTCACGTGCATGCATACTCACGTGCATGCATACTCACGTGCATGCATACTCACGTGCATGCATACTCACGTGCATGCATACTCACGTGCATGCATACTCACGTGCATGCATACTCACGTGCATGCATACTCACGTGCATGCATACTCACGTGCATGCATACTCACGTGCATGCATACTCACGTGCATGCATACTCACGTGCATGCATACTCACGTGCATGCGTGTGCATGCATACTCACGTGCATGCATACTAACGTGCATGCATACTAACATGCATGCATACTCACGAGCATGCATACTAACGTGCTTGCATACCAACGTGCATGCATACTCACGTGCATGCATACTCACGTGCTTGCATACTAACGTGCATGCATACTAACGTGCATGCATACTCACGAGCATGCATACTAACGTGCATGCATACTCACGTGCATGCATACTCACGTGCATGCATACTCACGTGCTTGCATACTCACGTGCATGCATACTCACGTGCATGCATACTCACGTGCATGCATACTCACGTGCATGCATACTCACGTGCATGCATACTCACGTGCATGCATACTCACGTGCATGCATACTCACGTGCATGCATACTCACGTGCATGCATACTCACGTGCATGCATACTCACGTGCATGCATACTCACGTGCATGCATACTCACGTGCATGCATACTCACGTGCATGCATACCCACGTGCTTGCATACCAACGTGCATGCATACTCACGTGCATGCATACTAACGTGCTTGCATACCAACGTGCATGCATACTCACGTGCATGCATACTCACGTGCTTGCATACTCACGTGCATGCATACTAACGTGCATGCATACTAACATGCATGCATACTCACGAGCATGCATACTAACGTGCATGCATACTCACGTGCATGCATACTCACGTGCATGCATACTCACGTGCTTGCATACTCACGTGCATGCATACTCACGTGCATGCATACTCACGTGCATGCATACTCACGTGCATGCATACTCACGTGCATGCATACTAACGTGCATGCATACTAACATGCATGCATACTCACGAGCATGCATACTAACGTGCTTGCATACCAACGTGCATGCATACTCACGTGCATGCATACTCACGTGCATGCATACTCACGTGCATGCATACTAACGTGCTTGCATACCAACGTGCATGCATACTCACGTGCATGCATACTCACGTGCATGCATACCCACGTGCAAGGTGCAAAAATACGATTTTCGTAAATTAC